CACCTGGGAATCGCATTTTCACTATTATTGATGCACTATTATATCTTTGTCCATTTTCGAAAAGGCAAGGGAGACTGGAATGACCGTTTTTGGCTTATTGCCGTCGACCACTGTTTAATCCTCACCAGGCCGCCTGCTGCGGTAGGTTTATCTGGAATGTAAAAGGCGAAGACAAACTCCTATCGATGTCCAGAGATCAGGTCAGCCCAACTAATGCTACTTACAAATGCTTTTCAGCACCTCGGATAGCAGTTGCCGAAGAAGGTTCGTGAGGTTGAAGATTTCGGAGCGATAATTTGAGAATAAGGAATGACTAACCGGAAGGGATTTATGCTGCTTAGTCCCACAACTAGTAACGCCAGCAGTTGTCAAATCTGTCAGGCATCAGTCAAAGGCCCGCGGGAGCGATAGGTGAAAATCGATCAGCTCACGGTCGCATAGCTTAACAAGTCATTCAAATTTTAGTTTAACTTTCGGCATCTAACTTATTGCTAGTGGTAGGTCGACCAAACTTTTCAAAAATCGGCAAAATAGAACAGATATTTTGACGAGCTAGCTGAGAAAGCGTCAGTCTGTGAATGGACGGGAGCTCATTCGGATCCGAATTTATTGACGAGAGTTCGACTCTGTGACCTGACAGCTTGGTGTCATGTGGAGGGAAATTAGGGCCGAAAAAGCCATAGCAGTCTTTTTCGGCCATGTTGACAGCGTTCTAGATGAAAGACTTTGTCTTCAGAGAAGACTACTTGAGCGCATTTTCTAAATGTAGTGCATTTGGCCAAGTTTGTAGAGGAAGTGCGCCGAGTGATTATACTACTGAGACACGGGAAGGCGAAAGATATTAAGAAAATATTTTTTACTATGCTTCCCTTACTGAAAGTCCTTGTGTAGATCAGACCTCTAATGACTTTGACTGCATAAGGGTTAGCGAATTACACAATGTTAGAACAGGGCCAGTCTTATTCTTAAACGTCAGGATAGCCACCCAATTTCTGACAACTGAGCGAACATTCTTTAGCCGCCTGAATAGCATTTGAACACCAAACTTATGGTTGATCAGAAGAACGACTGTCGTCTTGACGCAACCTGATGGAAAAATTGGATACCGTCAGATCAACTGACCAGGATAACTGGACAGGCAGCCGATCTGGACAAATTATTTCGTCCGAGGAAGCGTCATTCGGAAAGTAGCACCCTCGCAATGCGTTCTGACAGGTTGTTATTTCAAGAAATTGGGCTTGGCGACTGGATAAACAGTCAGCGCTTCCGAAAGCAAAGAATGAAGCGGCCATTAAAAAGGTTAACACGTAGTGTGGTATTGTAGCAGCCGCTCCAGTTCCTCTTTTCTCCGGCTCCGTTTTGTTTTGCTGTTGACACACGGCCACCCCCGCCGGCTAGAACTGGGACACCTCCGGTCCAACTCCAGTGACTGTCGGTTGACCTCACAAACTTTCATCACCTCACGCGCGTCTAACGCTCTGGCTTGATACCCGTGAGGCCTTGTGAGCAGCGCCCCCTATTCATCCCCTAATTTGTCCAATCACACGACCAATCCGCAGTCAGTCACCCCCTCCTGCTGACCCAGACACTCACTCCCGCGTAAACAACACACCGCGACTGACACTCTCCAGGAACGGACGCTTATTTCTGTCGCAAGCAAACAGCCACCTTGCGGCAAACTGCCCTGTGTATAGAATAAACTAGTCCTCACATCTCCCTGACTTCTGACATCAGACGAAACGAACTTATTGCGCGTGGTTTAAGCCAAACTCACATCCTTGACCGCCACAGTATCACCCCAGTTTCCAAAGGGTGATGTTTGTTTGCTCCCGAAAATCGCTTTACGACTCCGGAAGTCCCCCCCCCCCTTTACTCAGATCGAACCTTCTATAGATCAGGGATTATGACAGCCCTCCAGTTATTCTGTACAAAATACATCATCCTCTCCGTTGGCGCCCGCTTTCTTTTTTCCATTCGGGACCAGACGTGAAGGTCGCGGTAACCGGGGTCTCACTCTCGACCCAGCCTGCTGTGATAGACTCTTTCTCTTCTTGGCTTCCGCATATACATTTCTTTGGAATAACATGCCAACCGATCAGTGAGTAGCCCTACATTTTCTAACGTCAGGAACTCCCAAAAGACCGTACATACGCCCTACAGACTCAAGGTTTCCTTATAACCTTCATACCCCCCGGCATCCAATGGCCGAATTTCAAGGAAGCGCAACTGAAAACGCTCATAAGTGGGCGTGTTTTACACACATTCCGGCGGATATCTGACCGCCGCTTTCGTTCGGCTTTTACACCCGCACTTCGGTCTGGGACTGTAGCACTTGTAGTGGCCCTAATCCCGGCGCCTGTCTCAACGCCGGAGCTCTGTGTGCACACCATGCCTGTCTGGCATTCGCTCATTCGGCTTTCCAATCGACCAATCAGATTCAAGGCCGAGTCAGACGTGGCCTGTGACGCATTCATTGGCCGACACGTGGGACGCCGCTCATCCGTGGCCTGACATGCCCTCGTCCGGCTGCCAACTCTCTCCAACTCCTCCTCCAGTTATTCATCCTTTCCACTGGCTTCCACCTTCTCTTTCCATTCGGGACCGGACGTGAAGGTTGCGGTAACCCGGGTCTCACTCTCGGTCTAGCCTGCTGCGATAGACCCATGCGGTTCAATCCGACACCTGCATTGGCTGGGTTTCTTACTGACGTGAACCGTTCTCATAGTGAGAATTGCATCTTTTTTTCTACCTCTGCCAAACGCAAAACACGGTCAGCGTGTTCATCCGATGTTGTCATCCTAAGTGAGGCAAATTCGAAATTATTTTCGCAGTACGTTTGTCGCACGTTACTATGGGATCCCCGGTAGTCCGGTAAAGGGTTATTTTAGCTTATAAAGCTCTAAGTGAGCAACTATGTTAGTCTTTCCACGTAGTCGCCAGTCCGGTCGCATACCTGCACCACCTTTGGTTCGTCCAGCACCGGTTGGATGTTTGCGTCACGCATGACTCAGCTCCCGACTTGATGACAGCTCGAGATCGGCCGGTATTATGTCCTGCGCTGACTGGTTTCCGTCGGACATGCCTCAGGCGCATGCAAGCACGCACCTCACACCGCGGTTGATGACAGTATTGGAAGGCTCATCTCATGATGAGCATGTGCAGTCCCTGACGCACTAAAGACTGACATACTACTAACTTCGTCCTCCCCGACTTCTGATGGAAGTAAGTCCTTCTTGTCGATTTTACACCCCGGCATAATTGAACTCGTTTTTACTTTTACCTGCGACCGCGAAGGATGCATTCTGGTTGCTCATTTGTGGACAGACTGCCAATGGGCTGCGTTTATTACAAAGCGAGCTGGGGCCCAAGACAGCGGATTTAGCCGTAGAATGACATTGCCGACAAAGACAAGGGAGACTGTACTGGCCATTTCTGGCTTGTTAACCGTCGTCAGCCAGTCATACCCAACCCCGAATTGTGGAACACCCGAGACTCAAAATCGCGACCTGTTAGTTAGAAGTCCGCGCTCTAACCACTGGGCCACGAGCCCGTTGCCCTGTCGGTTTTCGATTGGGAATATACAATGGTTCGGGGCGCTCCCCGATCATTATTACGGAACTCACCCGTAAGGCACATCGGAAGTGTTCCCCACTTCTGGGTTGGGTATGACTGACTGACGACGGCTAATAAGCCAGAAATGGCCATCCCAGTCTCCCTTGTCTTTGTCGGTAATGCCGTTCTGCCTATATCGTGCGCCGCTGTGCGGCTGCTGGTTGGGCTCGAGAAAGAGCCCGTAAGGCACATGATAACAAGTGAGTTCCGTACTAACGATCGGTGAGCGCCCCCTACCATTGGATTTAACTGTACTTACACCAAGGATGCAAAACCCCTTACCGACCTCAGTCGGGGTGTTTATGCTTCTGTTTCTCAGAGGCCAGATTTTTAAGAAACGGAATGCAAAAGAACCACTGCACATTCAGTCTAGGCTCGCTTAATTCATACCTGGCGCGGTTAACGCGCCGAGACACGATCTAAGCTTCAGGTGTTCTGCAAACGCAAGGGTCCAATGTGATACAGAGACACCACGTGGATCTGGTGCAGCTGCGGACAAAGCAACTACGTAGGAGATACCGGAAGACAGCTCCGAACGAGAATGGCCGAACACGCTGCAGCGGTGTGGAGAAATGACGCCAGCTCTCAACTTGCGGCTCATTCGATGAGATCCGGCCACACATTCAAGTTCGATGAGGCTGAAATTCTCGCAAGAGGTGACAACCGCGTGAACCGGGAGCTACTTGAATCATGGTTTACTGGCCCCCAAGTCCAGTAACAAGTTCGATGACCTTCCCCTTCCATACTCGGTGCTGAGACTTCGCCTAGGCGGAGTAATTAGCCACGCGGGGAGCGCACATGTGAACACTTTTCCCAACTCCAGGGTTGGTGGATCAGAGGGGCGAGCAATCATCACACCGACACCCAACGCACGTGCTGAAATTGCAGCAATTAATGACGCGAATGTCGGCCATCAAACAATTACCACACCGAGTGCGACGATCCCGGATGAATGGGGGAGCCGTGAATAGGAATGCGGTAGCATGGCAACTGCATCCTATAAATACTGCAGCCCCTTGTGCGTGAACCACCCGTATCTGCTTTGGTCTCTGATGATGGGTTCGAGCAGGAATCCGAAACGTCAGGCCAATAAAGCTCTTGTCCCAGCGATCGTGTCTCCTTCTTCAAGCCCCTGTCTCATAGATCAAGTCTACTGGTTCCCCAAAGCACTTAACTCGGAATACGCCCTCCATGACACGTGTAGCGGGTTTTGTTTTGAGAGAGAGAGAGAGAGAGACATGTCTGTATGGAGCAGGGAGTCATTTACAAAAAGCACCTTCTGTCGGTGGATACAGTTAGAAAGTGAGCATTTTTGCTAGAAAGTCGATACAGTTTGGGTGCGTCTTTGTGCGATCATTAGCAGAAGCTTCTTCTTACAGCGCTGTCTGCTAGTAATGGTCGGGGTTGATGTCAAGAGGGAACTTGGTTTCGTTCAGTTTTGGCAGAATGTATCGACTGATGAAGAGGCTGGTCGGCGTCCCGGTGGCTTCCATGTGTTTCACGCCGACACTAGCGGACACGTCCAAATGGGTGTAGGGAATTTTGTTTTTACGTGCCTGGTATCCCCACTATAATCAAAGTGCAATCGTTAAAATAGCATATGTAGGCGAAAAATGTACAAAATAAGAGAAAATCTAACTGCTGGTTGTATCAGCATTGCCTGGGCTTAAGGACTTTGCCTCAGATTAAGTGGCTCAGTTCGGACATGGGATCACGAGAATAAATTACTTGATTTTTATGTACTGATGAAACTGGACGTGAATAGTACCTCCGAATCGCGACAGTAAATGATAGTATTTACTCTAAAGAAGCTAATCTGCAAAGTTTTAAAATCCTAATTTAAAGGTCCGAAGTGACAATCTGAACTTCGCCATTGAAAAAATACATGTCTGTGAGCGTCTTTTCGGGGACCTACATCATCCAGACCAGCTCCGACTGCCATAAAGCCTGCCGGCAATTGAAAGCCTCTGTACTTGGCGGTTTCCGGAGCGTTGTTGAACTGCAGGAGATCAAACTCATCATCTGTTGCGGGTCGGTTAACCTCGTAGTCCTCTTTGCGAAGAGTGTTTTTCTTTATGAAATGTGGAAAAAAGGTTCTTTTTCAAAATGTCGCAGTTTTGGAAGTTGGTAATGAATGCTTCAGCACTGGGTTGATTTCTACAAACCAACCAAACCTGGTTTGCATTTAGAGTTTGTAATTTTCAAAACCTGCTGCTGTTACACCTTACGATATGGTGACTTTAATTCCGAAAGATTATTTTACCTCAACGAAGTCGGCGATATTGTAGCCCGCCGTTTCCATGATGTCTGTGTTTTTCATTCTACGTGAGGGCCCGTTACCTAGCATTGCCTGAAAGAGAAAAAAATTAAGCAGCTTGACTGAGGCGCCTTTTCACTTCAACGAAGTCAGATGCTGGAGCATGAAAAAGAAAACAGTCTGAAACTGCCTCCATACGGTTTCTGCATCTCAACCAGTGTCTGAATGAAGAGACGAATAAATGCATGAACTAGGCCTGATTGTTTATACTTGGAAATGACTGTTATTCTTCTCCTTACCGTGAAATGTTTGAAGGCCCTTCCAACAGCTCCCGTTAGTGTTGCAATCGTATAAATATGTGGATGGGTTGCATTTTCTGCCTTTTTGGAAAAAGAACAAAAGAAAGAGAACTTTAAGACCAGAAAATATCCGAGCGGTTAAGAAGTAAAAAAATGTACATCGCTGTCTCCCTTGGCTGTATCAGTCTTCTTTCTCTATCATTATTGGTCGTTATGCAACTGACTGCGAGGGCCCTAAAGTGAACCCCAGAGCGCAATGGGAAGAGCACGTTTCGCAACCGAATCAATGAACAGCCATGCCACGAGAAAGGCAAAGGAGACTGGGATGGCCGTTTCTGGCCTATTAGCCAAAAGAAACAATTTTTGGTAAGATCCCTGTAGGTAGCCCTCCCGGTACTGAAATCGCCCGGCTACCTATCTTACGGGGCCGGTGGTAATGGGAGATATACGGATGGGGCACTTGTGTGCAAACGTCAATGATGTTTATAGTGTATCCCCCGAGTTGATGTCCCTGCTAAAGTCGTAGTCAAAATTAAATATGGCGAAAAATGAAAGAAAGATATAAAAACGAGCGTGGATACTGAGTACGGTCTGCGGAATGAATGCATCCTTGTTCCAGATTGGGTTGGACGTTCCTGATTTTCCGAAAATAATAATTTATTGCCACTAAGGTCACATGTATGTTAGAAATTGAAGCAGTAGCTGTGTGCTAGACGCGAATGTTGTAGTAAGCAATGTGTAGAGCAATTAGCCGGGAGGGCTACCAACAGGGACCCTACCCAAATTTTTGCCTAAAACTTCCACTGCATGCAGAAACATTGACAACAATTTCCAAACGAGAAAAGACATCAACTCCACACCTACTTAATTTTATCCAGAATATAAAATTTTGTTACGCTATTGGAGGTAATTTGTATAAAATGCAGGCGGTACACATAATGGACACAAATAGGACGGAAAAAAAGCCGTTACAGAGGCGTATGAACAGGCTAATAACAAGGATGGCATAGGGGCGCTTACATCCTGGACCGCATCATAAAACATGTCTGTCATGACGTTCCTGCCCTCAGCGTCCGGAGCGCCGATACGAGTGCGGATTCCCGCCTTTGTGGTGATTATCTCGTCATAGACGTAGGCGTTCGCACCAATCCCATTGCGTACGAAGGCCAAGTATGCCTTCGCCTTAAAGTGTTTCGGTTTTAGGAGATCCAAGGCCTTGAAGAAACCCGCGATGGAGGTGGCCCCGCACTTATCCTTGCGCATGTACTTCATCATGCCACCGGTTTTGAGCTCTGAACCACCGGTATCATAGGTGATGCCCTTGCCGACAAATAGGATGGTGTCGTCTGCCGTGTCGTTGAAGTCGTCGCTCACATACTCGAGGTTAATTACCCGTCCCTCGTATTTCTCCACACCTTACGAAGTAAATGGAATGTCATCAACTAGATTTAAAGTACATGAGCTTAACTCCTGCATGGAAAAATAACTAGACTCTTGTTGGAAGCCCTGTTGCCTTTCACAGAGCACAGTACAGCGCTATTAAACTGTGTCAATTAACAAGGCGCAAAACTTTGCATTTCGTGGAGAAGTACTCAACTGACCCTCAACGGCTCTGTTGACTGCCACACACAGTGGCCATCTTTCAGCATCCAGTTTATGGTAGTATGCCTTGACGGTGTCGTTTTTGAATTCCCGATTGTAGTATTCCTGGATCGACGGGGCAGCCATCCTTTCGGGATCCGAGGCGCACGTGTCACGATGGACTATGCGGGCCATTTCAATTGATCCAGCTATTTTGATAAATTCCTCGTCGGCTCCAACAATTCCGAGAACATCGTACTTGGTTTGCGGGTCGTAGCCAAGTTGGCGCTTGATATACGGCTAAATATAGGAAAAAACAGTCATGTGAAATTAAATTGTCGATCCGGTGGTTCGGCATAGGAATATATGAAGAAATGAACTTTTACAGAGAATGGGTCATCTTCCAGATAAATTTCCAGCTCGTTCTACTTTTCAAATTAATCAAGTGAAAATCCTTTTCGACCATGCGAACTGTTGAAATGCGACTTTCAGGCCCGTTAAGTGTCAAAAAGCCTAGTCTGGCACGGTTGAAGAGTTCTTAACTCGGAATCTAGCCATCACAGGTTTGAATCTGTTCCAGGAAAAGTTCACTGTAATGCAATATTGGAAAGCCAGCATCACAAACGATAAATACGGCTCATTGACCTGATTCATTCAGGTTTACGTCATTCAGTTTTTACGTCCAAGCTAAGACCCCATCTTACACGGTCAACTGTAAGAAATCACTAGTTAATGTGATAGCGCTCTGTCAAACAGGGCTGCACGTGTGGTCTTTACTTAATTTCCTGAATACTTTACTCTTAACGCTCCGACGCAGTCATGCTCTTTAAGGTACAACGCATGAAACTGATCCAGATATTTTCAGGAATTTGTCATCGGTCCAGACCACTCCGGGGCCGTTGTACTTGGGTTGCGAACTGTATTGTGGCTGATGCTTGACGTGGGCCTAAATTCATGAAAACAAGCATCCATATAAAGATATACTGTAAGTCAGGTATTTTTCTGTAGAATCGTATGTGGTAGTGTCCACTGGTACAGAATTCGGTCTCCCTTCTAGCTAAATGCCCTGTTCGTTTTATTGTGTAAAGTACTTAAATAACAATCCTTTTCTGAGGAGGTAGACTGCAGAGATACAAATAGGCAGGTCATTTGAATGATTGGCCACCCAGGACACGGCTAATATACTGAAAATTGAAAACATTTTTAGAATTTTATGCGATGAATGAACGCTGCCGAGTTTTCTTGTAATTCTAGGCTTTTCAATCCCATTTCCTTTCATATTAACAAGCTAGAGCTTCCTGCTGTTGACGGAAAATAATGGTTGGATTTTTTCTTTGGCGTACCGTGTAATAACCTTGTAGGGCGCCCAAAGTCATAAGGAGTTTTGGGTAATCGGCCTTCATCCACGTGTGGTTTGCCTTTTTCGAGGACTCCAGCGGACCCAACACAAACAACGGCCTTCGGAGGTTAAGGGAGAAAGCGCTGCAAAAAATAAAGTCAAAAAATTCACACAAAATTGGCAACAATTGATTTTCAACAGGATACGAGTTTCAAACAGGCTGACAGGCACTTATCATGCAATTATAAAGATCAAACGAGGATAAAAACTGCGAATTCCCGAAGTAATATGATTCGATTTCAGGACAGACAGTGCTTTTTATGAAAGTCGGATGATATGGGAACCGAATGGACCGGAGTGACTTACAGCTTCGCTGCATCCTGGGCTGTTCTGTAGATCTGTCGACTGTCGGAGATATCTGTGTTTAGCCGACCCGTGGGAGCAAATATCTGGAAAGTGAGGTGGAGGGTATATTTAAGTGCAGAATCGGACCGATATAGGCCCGGATTGGCAGAAAGTTGCAATTTTTCAAGTTTCATAAGCCAATTATTAATTAGAATTCAGGCAGTCCTGAAGTTTACTACTTAAAACTAAAGTAGCACCCGCGAATGTATTTTCCTTACCATTCTCTTATTCGGATGCTTTAAGAATGGGACAACTTGCATCTTGTTTGGAGTTGTGGAGTCCAGCTAAAAAAGATGAATTTTCGATTAAGAATGCATTTATCAGTTTAGTACCTAGAAGCAAATAGGCAAAGATTGCTAAGAAAAAAAGTGCATTTGCGTTATAGGGGGTTAAAAGGTTTCCTGTAAAATACGCAATTCAACGGACCCAGTCGTAAAAAACTCCCTGGAGTGTCTTCGGTACAGCATCTGTTATAAATTTTACCCTGATATTCATCCGGTTAGTGCTAAACTGTTCATTCAGTAGAATCTGTTTGGACAGCCATCCAACTGTATCAGAACTAGTAGATTCCACAGGATGTGGTAGATTGAGTGGACAACTTGACTCAACTCTCAGTCAACTCACGGCTCTTGCTCATAGTCACATAACGCGGGTGGTTGGAATTTTGGCTTTAATAAAGCCCTTTCTTCTTTGTCTTAGGTTCGATCCTAAACGAGGTCGCCGAATTCTTTGTAGATGGGCAATCACTTGGATTATTCAAATCTTCCAAAATCACCTTTAAAATCGCACAATGTCTGCAACACAATAATCGTTGCTAATCCAACCTTATCTACACGACTTGATAGCACCTTTTGTTTGTTTCCCTTAAATTCGAAGTTCGAGGCGAAAACCTTAAAAAATATGGATATTTGTGATGAAGGCTTCATCTGACAGAATGGCCGCTGATTCACCAGGGAGGAAAAATCTAAAATTTAATAAAATAAGATCGCATGTTGCACGTGGACTCCTCATCGTCAGAATTGTTGCTTAATTGGCTAGTTTTACGAATCAGTATAATAATTCCAAATTTCGTTTCTCCTAAGACGACTAGACGGAGACGACAGACGAAGAACCTTCATGAAAAAGGACCGTTGGCGGGATAGGTACTACGTAAGATCTACCGTCAGGTTTTGGCTAGACAAATGAAAAAAAAGATCGCACGCCGAGTTACTCTCCTTTATACAGACTATAAAAAGTCTGTAGCGCGCAATCTGGTAGATTTTTTTAAATGCAATGTTTAGCATTTTAAACAAGAAAGCATAGAAGAGCAAGCCCTGTTTAGTATGTTCTCTGTTTTGGGGGAAAATTATAGAGGATATTTCTCATTCATCACTGATGACCTACCCCATTGTATTGCACGAGAGCTTCACCGATGTCCTTAAACTCGTTCTGCAGATTGAAGATGTCATCGTTTAGGAATATCACAACATCATAGTTGGCAGACAGTATGTCGCTGGTTGTAGCAGTCTTGAGAGTTTTTCGAATATCTGGTACTGGGTCCTCACTGACCTCTCCGCTACACCGCCATGTCAATGCTAGTAAAAGGATCAACGGCAACATGGCCGCGCCTGTACTCAGCTGTCGTGGTTAACGCTGTCATCGCGACCTTTAACTGAACCTCTATATATGTGTGGTTACGCTAGTTGCAGGGCCTAAATTCTGGCATCTCCGCTGTATCCAATAAGCGCTGTGCTGTTGCAGTCGGATGCGCAGGAAAGCCTTCGGGTTAGTCGCTTTTAGGCGGGTGGGGCATGAAGCCTACGATGTGGTTTCTGTAGTACATAGTTCTACAGGGAAAAGTGGGTTTCAGAGTCAGGACGCAAGAGGACACTTTGACACTCCAGATTTACTAGAAAGAGGAAGTTAATGAAAATTCCACCGAGCTCAGCGCACCAGTATAATGGTAACGATGATGTTGGTAGTGGTGGGAGTTATGATGATGGTGATGACGATTGTAATAATAATGACGAGGATAATGATAGGAGGCATTACTGCAGCATGTCAGTAAGACCAGGCTGACATGAAGGATAAGCTTGGTTAATCCAATCATCATGACAAGCCGGCTTTTTATTAGTGAGGGCGCAATCAATAGATGCGGGTGAAATATGGACATTGCTGTCCGTAGAAAAATTCCTCATATTCTGGCGACCTTCAACAAACACTGTGGATTTATTTACCGCACTCTGGGACCGAGTACTGGCTAGAAGCCCAGGCACCTGTTTCATCGATTTTGTATCGCTGCATGGGCTCATTAGTATGTCCCCCAACGAGTGAAATGACACGCCTAGGGGTGGCACCGGTCGCGCCAACTACCTGCGCCCTGTCTTATCTCCGATCTTCTTGACTCTGTTTTGGCAGCGGGCCCAGGAGGGGAGGGGGAGGAGAGAGTGAGGTAAATGCTGCGAAAGTCCGCCATTACCATAAACAAACTCATGCACAAGTCATCGCCCCCGCTCTCACCCTGCTGTGGAGCACACGGTGGACATCGTCGAAATCGACGCTCGAACTGTCTGTATTTTCCCCAGTTCCCAGTGTGATTTGCGTTGGATACTGCAGTTTTATGTTAAGCTTTCTGGTTTACCCGAAAACTAGTGCTGTAAATTGTTGGGCATGAACTTTCTCAAGTTCGGTTCGACAGCTGACATGCATTACTGGCCTGAAATGCCTTGGTCTCGGTGAACTAAACGCGTTGTATTCCCATTCTGTTCATGTTCAGTTAATAATTTGTATGTACGGAGTTGTTTGTCATACTAGCAGCAAAGGTGCTAGCTAAGAGCCCAAGCACGTGTGTTTCACTGATTTTGTACCGCTGCGTGATTTAGTTTCAGGGAATTCAGCTCGTCAGTGAGTTTTATCTTAGATCAACGTATAAACTTCCAGACAGAACCTGGGAATGCTTGTGTCAAAGAATCTCTCCAAGTTCATCTATTAAGTCCTGAAGACTTTTACATGTTAGATATTCTGTGATTGAAGATGACTTCAAGTCATTCCTTTGGTGAGGAATTTTAGGGTCACTCAATGATAGGGAAACAGGAACTTTGTCCTGGTAGATAATAATCAGATTCCCTATACGATTTATCTAAATATGGACCCATACAAAACCAGATCTTGTCATTTTATAGTTCCAAAGATATTAGTCATTAAGGAAACTACCTGACTCATTTATTTATTTCTTCAGTCTGGCTGGATCCTAGAGTTTTAGAGTAGAAAATCCTGCTCTGACAATCAGGCTGCAGTATTAAATTGGCGAATTCCACAGGTTGGCATAGAATGGGCGAGCAGCCTAGTTTCACTGGGAGAAACTTGTGGCACTCGAATGGAGCCTCATAGCTCAGGTAGTTGGGGCCTTGACTATGCTCAACCTAATCCCTCCGAGGTCGTCGAGTTTCTTACAAAGAGTTGGTACCTCAGACTTTTCAACCCCATCAAAACACCTCTCCGTACACTTAATTTTGTTGATACCTTTGTAGATCGAAGAGGAGGACAGCGTGTTCTGCGAACAACCACTTTATACTCACAGCATGCAAAAACACAGTTTTTTGAACTCCCCCAAAAGACGCCTTAGTTATTTGAGGCGCTGAGCGTTCTGGGACATTCCGACCTGTGGCGTGCCAATCGTGGAGAACGTTTTAGAATATTTTGGCCTATGGCGTGTCGGTCGTGGATTGACCGTTGCGTGCGCGAGAATCCTCTCGCCGAAAAATATCGATTGTTCGACCGGCCACTGGTTGGGCCGAACGCGCGTGCAAAGCCTCAGTTGGTAGGCTGTCTGATTTCGCGCGTGTATGTCACCGCCGGCTTGGCCTGCTGTTCATTGCGTAGAAAAGTCTTCTCTTCACCCTAGGCCGTGACCCTACACCGCTTCCGTTTTCCATAACAATCTTGAGTGACCGTTTATCTAAGGTCGGAGAATTGGACGCCTTTTTTTCCAGGGATGACGATCCGTCTCCGTTCCGAGTTTTACCACGTTTTTTCGCCGCCTGAATTCGCGACAATGAAGTAAATGCGATTATAGATCCTGTGCGCAGATCCCACAGTTTCAATCAGTTTGCCCTGAAATAAAGTGATTAGGTCGATATTCAGCACTGTTATTGTAAATGAAAGCATTAAGCCAAGTCTTGTCAACATGATACCTGTTTATAAAGGGATTTGTATAAACACAATAGTTGTTAGAATCAAGAGATTGCTGGAAGACAGTTCCAGTGCATTCCTGTTTTCGAGACTGCTTTCGATAGGCAGTTCAGAAAGCGAAGCATAGACAAAGTCTGTTGGCGCAAAGTATGGGAGCGATGGTAGACTAAGCGGGACCCCGATACCCTTCTGGAGAGGGTTTTTGTGGGGTCGTTATTGTCATTTGCGGCTTAGCATTGTCATGCTAGGGGGCTAGGACCTTTCCTAACAACCAGCCACGCAATTTCTGGCCGAACACCTCCCACTGCATGGCGTACGACTCCGTCGTAAGCGTTGTTCGACGTCCGAGGAATATGAAGTGACTTGATCCAGAGTCGAACCACCAAACAGCGACTTCTGTCATCATCAGACGGAGGCCAAGTTTTACCATGGATTAAAGAGGTTTATCCTGTTTGCTTGATCATATTCGATTAATTTCTTCGACAGATGAGAAAATCCGGACAAGTAAGTGTCATTTATGTCTAGAACTCGCACTCGAAAACATACCTCTACATTTCTCCGAGTCCCAATTACTCTTAGGTTGACATATAAGAAGCTACGTGAAACGTCAAATGCTTTCGTTAAGTCCGAACAGAGTCTTCCCGGGACTGACTCTTATTATGTCCTCCAGGATATCATCTATGGATCCCGTACGCTCGTAGCGACCCTAGTAGTGGATGTCCCCTAGCCACCACAGTAGTCACGGTCCAATCCCGTTTAGGGGAGAAGGGGAAACACAGCCACAGGAGTTGCGTATTCTCTACAGAAGCTCTGTTTGTCCGTAAAACAGGTCACACAGTAGATGCGCTGGACCGATGCAGAGGGCTAAATCGGAGTCCCGCAGGCGTTCTCGAGAATGCGCACCCATAAGAAATGCCACTATTGGGGTGTGGCAACAGACTCAGTTGCAGGCTCAAGCCGCACGAGTTGGGATCTGTGCCGCCCCCCCCCCCCATTTGTTCTTGTGTAAAATCCTGGTGAGTGTTCGTTGTGAACCAGACGGTGCGGTTGTACGCCTAGGTGCGGGCTTTCGTCACACCAGCCACCTCCGCCTCTGGTCTTCCCTTGACTCTGTCTTGACACCGGGTCCAGTTGGGACGGGGGAGAGAGTGCGGCAGATACTGCGAAAGTCCACCATCACTTTAAACTAAACTAAACTAAATTAATCCTTGCTCCCACTCTGGTTGGGAGCCTACGGTGGATATCTTCAGTCACGGCTGTCGAACTGTCGCCGCATATAGGCTCGATGGTTGTCAGGGCTTCCGACGGACGGCAGGCTATAAACCTGGACGCGCCTCTGTTCGCTGGAGTGGTGCGGCGTGGGTGAACAATTGCCGTGCGAAAGTCAGTCAGCGCCGACTAGATGAGTTTATTGGACGATTTCGGAGTTTGTAGGAGCCTATGATTGGCCGTCCTAGAGACTGCGTGTATGCCTGTCCGGACTAGTCGGAAGCTGCAATCACGCGAATCCTAGCGCATCATGGCTGTCAGCAACGGAAGGCTTATACGCACTTGAGGAGCTGAAGTTGCAGCGTTTGATTCCAGTTTTAGCTACCTGGACTTTGTAAACCGACCTCGCATTCCTCCCTATTCTAGTCCATGGTCATCGAGTGCTGTGTGTGATCCGTGCTTTACCGCCGTTGAACAGTGATCAAGTCTGAACACATAGAGTGCCAGAAGTGGGGAATTCCGCCTTTTACAAAACGCCAGGTCACGCCAAGCATAAGAGCAAATAACAAGCTCAATTACCTGTGTGTGGCCAAATATCTTTGACGGAATGCCTTATTGGGGAAACTCGGCGGTCACGATGATATTTCAACCCCCGAAGTATAGAGTATGGTTTATTGTAGCCAGTGTTCTAACCACCTGAGCTACGGGGTCTCGACCGAGGGCCTTGAGTTGTTAACATTTGAGTTAATGTATTCGTCAAAATTACTACGAATTCCAACACGGTAGTTTAATTGCTCGATCATTTTTTCCTAGACAAATCGGATAGTTGCCAAGTGCATATGTTGAATGGACAGATGTTTCGACAGACTGGAGCAGGTTAACTGAATACCACTTAGTTAAAATTTAGGTGGTCTTTCTGAGATATTAACAAAGCAAAACCAAACATCACAAAAAATAACGAAAGAATTCAAAGTGACCTATTAGATAGATTCCACGTATCTCCTCAGTTACCCCTGTGAAAGACGGCATTGTGATGTCGCAAAATAAGGCATCCATACCCATAAATTAAAATAACTTGCAAGTAATATCGGTGAGGATGAATATCAGTTAGCTAACTAGTTAATAGCACCTAAAAGTATGTGGTCCTTGTTTCAGGAGAAGGCTTCGAATGTTTCCGATTCCTTAGAAAGAGGTCTTAGGAAGCGCCATAGTAGATAACA